CAAGCCTGGCTTTTTCATCTTTGTTTTGGACGAGTTAGCTAAAAGATTAGAGTATAAGAAGTAGTGATCCTTTTTTAATCCGGACAGGCAGACCACCTAAGCTGTTAGCAGTGCAATTAGCTTTTATTTCGAGGTAAATGACCCTCTAGGATTTGGACAAAGGCTGTCTTTGTCCAAATCCTGGCCCACCCAGATAATGACATTGGAAATAGGACTGGGTTTACCATTTCTAACTATGAACACGGTCAAGTGTTTCAAGTGTCTATTTATCCTGCCGTCTCACCCACGCAAAATGTGAAAGGTGGAGTACTTTCTGGATAAGAAGAGAGGAAGGATCGAGGACACCCTGCCGGAGATAATGGCAATGAATATATCCTGGCGCTCCTCCAGACCTGTCTTCATGTGTAAGGCAGTGAGTGAATTTCACTTTGCCAGTGGTTAGCTATGCCCATTACTCACTGAGCTGTGCTGCAGTGATAGAGAGGGGCCCAGAGACGGGGCAGAGCGGCAGCACATCACAGAACAATGGCGATGATGGATGTGGATACACTGCCACCGGTTTTTGAAGTGCTCCAACTACACGCAGAGTTTGCATCACATGTGTGGTCGGTTGAACAATTCGTCGGTTCAGTTCCCGTTGTTATTGTGGCGTTCCACTTCATCCCGAGCTGGTATTTCATAAATCAAGGCTCTCGGTACAACTTGGCTGCAGAGATAGAAGACCGTAGTAGTAAAGTGATGGCAGACTTTAAAGTGTTTTACAACTGACTATCACTGTGACAGTCAGTCTTGCACTTTCCTCTAAGTATTTGCCCAAACATGCCCTACTTCTCTCCCCCCCCCCCCCCCCCACACACACACACACACACACAGACGTTCACATCACTTCCTCCACTGAAATTGGTGGAATTCCAGGATGTCGGCTCGCGGTTGGATGATGCTAGTATTGCTTGTCTGCCAGCGGGCCTGCCTGTTTTTCTCTGAAGGTGTCGGGTTCACAGGTTTGCTCAAACAGACGGGCGGGTTTGTGCTTGGTTCGTAGCCAGATGCACATACAGGAGGAGGGGAGCAAACAGAAAAAGGGTAAAAATAAAAAAAAGAGCTATGCAGATGGGAGCCGGGGGAATGGTGGAGATGCTTTGTTACTTCCTGTGCATCTGTTATGGCTACGGGTGGCCCTGGTTAATCTACACCTCAGTAGATGTGTAGAGACCTCAGTCTATCCCTCACTCCTGAAAACTACTTCCTTGACAGGAAATGATGTTGTGAAGGAGTCAGTGGATTTATTATTACTGCCCAATTTTTCTCTTCCAGAGTTTAAATCCTCTGTCTGACTGGTGCACAACCTTGTGGGAAAGCTTGCTCACTGTGGAAGAGTAACTGCAGCTTGGCTCCACTCTGTCGCTTTCATCAGGTTTTTCCCATGTTTCTCAGTCATCTGTCAGTTCATATGTGTTGCGGCAGCGAGTAACACTCATACAAACTCACACGGATCATTTTGTGCCTTCTTGCTATTTCTCTGGACAGGTGAGCCCTTCCCGTGCTCACCACAAATGTATCCTTCTAGTTCTTTGATGTTTCGATTGTTTCCGAGTCCTGGTTCAGTGTTTGCTTCATCTTCAATTCCCCTTGCATCTGATTCATTTGGTTTTCCTGGCAGGCCACAGTGAGGTTCCCGTGCCAGGCAATTTTCAAAGACTTCACTATGTTGGAATGGGGCCCCAGTCTTGCCCGGGACAGAGGGACCTTTGTGCCTGCTGCCCAACAGCCCAGTCGGCCCTTAGAGCAGAGGAAGATTAGGGGACAGGGTGAGCCAATGGGCTAAATGGTAGGGTGCCTGTTTGAAAGCCAATGGTGTCAGCCAAACAGCCCCTTAGCCCCATTCAAGCACACAGTAATTACAAGCTTGTAGGGCAATCCTTTGACTCCTTTGTCTCGGCTTTGGAAACACTTGCCCAGTCCACTGGGGAACTTCATTCCCTCTCTGTTTGGAGACCCAGGACGAAGAGTCTTTCAACTCCAGCATGCTGTCCTTTCTCTCGGGTACAGCAGCTAGCTCAGCAACAGGGATCCCCCTCCAGGGGGCTCTGTCTTTGAGAGTGTCTAGCACTGTGTCTTGATGATGACTCAGGTCTTTGCTTAACTTGCTCAGATTTTTGTGAGTCAGATTTGAAAAACCCAGACCCTAAGTTCATGCTTGTGATTCATCATCACAGTACTGTTCTGCTGACTGACTGCTGTCTGTCCCCCTTTAATTCCTTGTCGTGTGCGCGTGGGGAGGGGGGGGAGGCCCACTGTCTACTGTCTCAACACATGCACAACACATCCTCAGTCTGTATAAGGGCATGATATCAGAGCGCAGTACTTTGTGTCTAGACTCGTCCCTACAAATTGTAGCACCTCTGAGGTGTGCCGTGACATCACTAACGCTGCATCTGCATCTGCACCAGCGCTTTGCTCATCATTTGACGAGCCTGACGGACCAGCTGGGAGGTCAGAGACCCAATTATAGGAAGTTAACCTAATTTAGTCAACAGGCTCAAGCTGTCTGGACGACATGCCCCACAGAGCTGTGAAAAAAAGCCTCTGTTTAATCCAGCAGGGGGTGGACAGGGGATGGCAGGATAGGTTGGAAGAAGCCTTATGATGTGGGGTCTAGGGCCGTCCTTGACTAAAGAAATTCTTAGTCTTCTAACACTCATACAATTTTGTCAATTTATTTATTCAATCTACAAAACCGGGTTTCTCCACAAAGAATAATTTAAAGGTACCCCTTTAAGTCTGTGTATACAAGAGACGTGCTCATACGTTTTTGAAATGAATCATTCAGCATGAAAAAAGCATAGAAACGATTAATCGACTAAATAAATCTTAGTCGATTTAATGGCCGTTTTGGTCTAAGAGGGGGCTGCCCTAGTGGGGTCTCTGACTGTCTCGTTCTTTCAGCCCGTCTCTCTCTCAGTCACACAAACGGCCATAAGACAGACTCCCTCAGTCACTATGCCACACTCCTTCCTTTTAATCTGACAAGACCATGAAGCCAGTCATCTGTCTGTGTTTCCTTCAGCGAGTGGATTAGCGGCCCATTTTCTGGCACTTGTGTGTGTGTGTGTGTGTGTGTGCGTGCATGCGTATTTTGTGTGTGTCACTTCTCTTTTTCCATCTGTCCCTGTGGATGCTCGGCAGCATGCAGGAATGAGGCCCAACACTTTGGGACTGGACCTGCAGTTTAACATATATTTCCACTCTTATTCATGTCGGAGAAATAAGGGTTTTAGTAGGACATGATGAGTTTTTGTTTTTTTTATTCATTAATGAGTTTTTATTAATCTGCTCCAGACACTTAATGTACTCCCATGCCCTAAAGAATTGGTGCCCATTCATTAGAGGAGTGTATAGTTGGGAACCTTCCTTATGTGACAGATGTAAGATCACAGTGGCAATATTTTTCTTTTCATCTTATTTGAATTTCTTCTGGCTGAAGATTTTGTGTCATGTAACCATGAAGCTATGACAGCCTTGGTTTGAATCTGAAAATTGCCCTTTCAATTTGATGGTCTTTGCTCTGATCGGCTTATTATCGGACTACTAGGCTCCACGTGAAACCCTCTATAATTATTTTCTCGCTTGGGGACCCTGTTCATTACTGCTTTATGTTTGTGGTTCAAAAAAAGTCAACACAAAAATAATATAGGAACATATTTTTATTTTGCTGCTTGCTTTTGCTCAATATTGGACTAACAGAAGGGGTCTCTGCTGCAGAATATGCACAGGTTTAGAGGTTTGTTGTGAGAAAACACTCTTCTATGTCTTTGAAGACTGGGGATGCTTTATAATGCTTTAAATATATTTTCTACTAAGTACTGTATGTGTCGTAGTTGGCATAAAGTTGCCCCTGATGTTGGAATGCAGTGTGAAGGTGGCTGCGCTGTAGGTCCGTCACAGTGCACTGTTTGCTACTAGCTAATGTGATCACAGCCACAGCCAGGCAGTGTTGCGAGTGGAGCCTTAATCTCTGCCAGTGTCTCCCTGCTAAATTGGGCCGATTTGTCAGGCAGAGGATCATCACCCACTTTCAAAGAGCCCTTTTGCTTTTTGATGTGCAGCTTGGGATATTTGATCAAGAAAACTGCAGCTCCGCATCACAATTCACCAATGTTGGCTGCTAAAGGGGCTCGCAAAGAGACGTCAGTCAAGTCACAAGCCAAAAGTCATTGGCTTAGGTATGAGATGTTTTTTTCTCTCCCATATACTGTATGTCATTTTGGTTATGACTTAAGACCTGAACAGGTTTATTAAAATACCAACTAAGTCATCTTGAACGTTCTCTTTGGATAAATTAAGTCATTAGGGCAAAGGCATCGTTTTACCAAGACACACATTGTTGTCAAATCATTTTGAATTTGGCTGAGTTTTCCCGTTTCCCCTCGATGCTGATTCTGAAATTGGTTTGAAGAGTAGGCCTCCCTTATCTGAAATTGAACACCTCAGTGACTTTTCATTGGCTCTTAGAAAGCCGTCAAAGGGGGAAAAAAAATACATCCACATTCAGTTCTCCCGGCTGGTTTGTAGATTCCTTATGTATCGCTTTCATTTCCTACAGAGAGATTTGCATATCTGTAAAGATGTCCTCACCAGTTGCATTACAAGTTGCTCTGTTGTATGAAGATTGAAACTAGAATATCTTTACATATGGATGGATGCCCTAAAACCACAATGTTATTAAGTGGTGAAAAAATTGAGATATTTGTTTAGCTTAAGAAGTGAAATTCCAATGTCCCATGTCAAGGACAGTGAAACTGGGCACCGATCACAGCCAATCAGGTTTAAAGTCATCTGGTTTTCCAATACTAAGGATCTTATTTCTTAATTTAAGAGTTGCTACCCAGCCTCTCTTATTTCCAGTCTTATATATTTAAGGGGAAAGTGATGTGAGTCAGAAACAGATGTATTTGTTATCATCTTCTCTCCAGACTGACTGATTTTCCTTTTCTTTTCAGGATAGTTTGTCCGGAGAAAAGACAAATGCGGTGGCAGTGTCGACACAGTTGAGGAAGCAGTATGAAGGCTTGAATGCTGAAGAGGTGGGCTTGCCCCTGCTGCACAGTTGTTGTTTTTTCTGCCTCCTTACTCGTCGATCCAGACAATCAACCTTCCCATGAAGTCGGGAAGCAGCATCCCATCCCAGAGGCAGCCATGTCTCCTTGCTAAGTGCCTTTAGCCTTTTGCACTGGTGTCATGACCAGCCTGAAGCATCCACCAATGGAGCGCACCGTTGGGGGTTCCATCCCCGCCACTGATGAGTTTTACACCCGCCACCTCCGTATGGCCAATGGAGGGACTGTGGCAACCCGCACAGACAATGTCCATGCCACTGTGAGCGCAGGAGTGCCTAAAATGGGTGTACGGGCCCGGGTGGCTGACTGGCCCCCAAGGAAAGACCTTACAGGGATTGTGTGGCACTCAGCTACAGAGCCTGAGATCTCTGGTGTGCCCTCTGCTGGCAAAAGTCACATTAAGTTAGGCTCTATAATGAGCCCTCAGGACTCGTCAATGCTGCGTAACATTCACAACACTTTGAGGAATCGAACCCAGGCCCAGGCCAACAACTACAGCCCTGACACCCGGTACCTAGCCCAAGGAGACTACAGAGGCCCTGCACATAGAAACCGACATAGACGCATCCGTCAGCGCAGCAACAGTGATATGACTATCAGTGAGATGGAAGGCAGCGGAGACAGTGGAGAGGACTGGGGTCCAGCATCGGGAGCCAAATGGTCCCCACTCCATCGCGAATACGGTAGCACCTCATCAATAGATCAGCATGGCGCCGCTGGAGAGAGCTTCTTTGAAATGCTTAGGGCCTATCAAGGGGACAAAGTGGACCAGCGTAGCCCTGCTCCACAGAAACTGGACGACATGCTGATTGTTGGGCAAAAGCAGGCCAGCATTGATCTTCAGGAGGATGTCGTAGACAGCCCGACTCCTAAAGCCAGAGATAAGCCCCCAAAGAGAAGAACTAAATCTGAGACAGGGGGTGAGTCTATATTCCGTAAACTAAGGGGCGTGCGGGGTGACTCTGACTCCCCTAAAGCAGGGTCTGACGTAGAGGACAGCCGGACGGAGGACACGGGCCCCCTTTTCAAGCCCTGGGTGTGTCAGAAAAGCTTTGCCCACTATGATGTTCAAAGCACGCTGTTTGACCTCAACGAAGTTACTCAGCTGCGGCAGATTGCAGGCAAGAGGACAAATACCACCACGGGGGCATCTGCTGCTGCTGTAGCATCGGCTACCTCCACCCTCTCGTCCACACACAGCCTGCCTTACAGCTCCCCGAGTGGTAGCCAGGAAGACCTCAGTTCTAGGGACAGTCCTGGTCTGGACTCGGGGGATGAACAGAGCAATGAAATTCTGCTAAGTTGCCCCTGCTTCCGCAACGAGATAGGTGCTGATGGCAATGGGAGGCGCAGAATGGGAGTAGGTGGGGCAGGGTATCATGGGCTTGTGGGTGGTGGAGCGGTTCACAATGGCTCAGGGACCCTGAGTGGGGAGGGAAACTTGTACGAAACATCTGTGAGCACGCACTGCACTAATGCTGGAGTGGCAGTGCTAGAGGGACCAAAGGAAGGCCCCAGCATGCTCAGCGAAAAGGGCAAACAATACATTGTGGAGCATGTGGACCTGGGAGCCTACTACTATAGGAAGTTCTTCTACCTGAGGGGTAAGATTCATTTTACCGCTTTCATTATGTACTCATTAGCATGTGAATGAGTATCGTTTAAAGCAGTAAAGTTTCATATTACCCAACAGATGTTGTCTTTTTGTAATTTTGCCCGTTTCTCTGCCACTTCCTCCTCCTCAGAGCACTGGAACTATTTTGGGGTGGACGAGGCACTGGGACCAGTGGCAGTGAGCTTGCGCAGGGAGAAGCTGGAGGAGGACAAGGAGCACGGCCAGCAGTATAACTACCGTCTCATCTTCAGAACCAGCGAGGTCAGCCATAGTGTCCTATCCTTCCTACACCCCAACCTCGATCTCAGCATCACATCCATCCTTCCTGCCTGTGGAGTGAAACTTTTGGTTGACTGTGAAAATAAACATAAATTTTGTTTGATGCCTGCTCGGATCTTATATCCAGTTGATAGTACACCTTCTATACTTAGTGGAGATGCACCGATTGATTTGCCCGTTGACCGGATCAGTCTCAGATTCTGTGACATTCAAATTTACACCAACTTTTGTTGGTGGCATTCTCGCTAGTTTTAACTGACTTTGCAGTCAACTCTTAGCGACTTAAGGCTATTTCTAAAAAGCTACTAGCGACAAATTAGCCGACTTATTCAGACAATCATGGAAAAAGTGAGAAATATTAAAATATAGGTTTTTACTTTGTAATTCATTCCCGTGCATGCTGCTCAGAGTAACAGTGCAGGCTCTCCTCTCACGCTGTGCATAGTCAGTAGGTGTTACTATAATATAAAATACACTGTTAAATAGATACTGATTCATAAATAGTTTTGTATAAGTACATAGTTTTAGCAGACATACATACAGTGTATAGGATTCTATTTTCTGTGATTCTTCTCTGATATGTAAATACTATTGATCATGTTCATAATTTATAAATGTACAATTTAATTTTGCATCAAAGAAACGTTACAAACATTTTTAGTGAATGCTGTCAATTATAGTTCTGAGAAAGAAAATTGGATTTGGCCAAGAAAGTTGCAATCGATGCATCTCTACTACTTGTATGTTAGAAGGTGTGTGTGTATAGTTCAACTGCTACTATGCCTGCTACATACTAGGCAGACCAGCCTGAGGCCAAACCAGCCTCAGTCCTTGTTTCTTGTTATGCAATCAGCCCTGGGACTATTCAGCTGTCTCCCAATATCAGCAATGTGTGAAGGAACTTGAGGAAGTGCACTCATCTTCCAGCCTCCAAGGCCAGTCAGTGCCCAACAACCTCAAACCACTCCGTGGAGAGTGTTTCAGTAAAAATAGAAGTCATATTTAGTTACAATGTTGGCCCCCAGTCTTCTGTGTTTGGGTTTTTAGGATTTATTATATGGACGGACACTTTCAGACAGGGCGTAAAGGCACCTGCCTGGGGCTGTTTGTTGTGAACTGAAGTAGGACAGGTGCATGTGATTAAAACCCCCACACCACCCCCACAGACTGAAGTACCATAGGGAAACCCGCCTCCTATCCTACCTTCAAAACATGGAGAACACAGGTCCATTGTAAACACAGGCCCTGCACAGCCTCCAGCTCATAGGAGAGATTGCGTCGGTCCATTCCAGCTGCTTATGATAGCTGACTGATTGAGTTCACTCCCAGAGCCCAGCACAATGTAGACTTTGTGTATACAGAATGCTTGGACAAGCACTCCCACCTCTTCGTCCTCAGTTCCACTTTTTATTTACCCAACGTCTTGAGTCGTAATTGTCTTGTTGTTTTGTGTCACTTTCTTTACGAGTACAGTTAGACGATTGTATCGCATTTATAAAAAAACTGCAGCAACTTGTATATATTTTTGTAGTCTGTACAGGCATGTTTTGCTATCAGTCTATTCAATCTCCATGAGATTCCTGAAAGGCATTTTTTCTCTTCTCAAACTCTTCTCTGTAATCTCTTCCTCTCCGTCTCCCTCCATTCAGCTCACCACTCTTCGAGGTTCTGTCCTGGAGGATGCAGTGCCTTCCACCTCTAAGCATGGCACCACCCGGGGGCTGCCCGTCAAGGAGGTACTGGAGTACGTTCTGCCTGAGCTGGATCTGTCCTGCCTCAAACTGGCCCTCAACACACCCAAAGTCACTGAGCAGCTGATGAAACTGGATGAACAAGGGGTAGGAGGATAAAGCATGAGCAAGTGTTATTTTACAGAGTCAGAACGTTTTGCAGCTAGCAACAATAGCTTGCCTGAATTTGTACAGAAAGATAATTAGTGTTTATGAATTAGTAATTTAGTGTTTGCTTTGTTGCTGTCACCCAGCTGAGTTTTCAGGTGAAGGTGGGGGTGATGTACTGCAGAGCGGGCCAGAGCACAGAGGAGGAGATGTACAACAACGAGATGGCCGGTCCCGCCCTGGAAGAGTTCCTCCAACTGTTGGGGGAGAAGGTTCGCCTCAAGGGCTTCACCAAGTACAGAGCCCAGCTGGACACCAAAAGTAACAACTCCCAACCTTCCCTTTTAGATCACACACACACACATACACAAACACAGATGTGATCTTTAGCTGCCTAGCCAGTGGCCTCAACTTTTTATTACCAGGAGCAGTCCTGCAGTAAGTTAGTTTCACTTTAGTTATATATTACACTATACTTTATAGTGCTTGTACTTTGCTCCTTTATCTTGCTTTTGGTCAAACGTTTCCTTTCACTGGAACTAATTTCATCCCACCAGCATTGTCCGTGTGACATTTTGACTTTACTTTACTTTTCCTTTCTCTTCTCATGTCTCCTTCTCTTTCTGGTGTGTCCACGACAACAGCCCCTCAGTGGTACTAATGAGTGCAAAGATGTGCTGTCATTGAATCTAACTTTAGGAAATCTGACTCGACTCGAACAAACAGATTTGGTGATTGAATGAAAAGGTTTATCATTTCTGGTTTATGGCCTTGAGGTTACAAAGAAACGTTGACTACAAATGATTTAAACATTTAGATACTGTCCATTGTATTGGAAACTGTAATGTGACAAAAGACTGGAAAGGGCTCCACTTACAGGTTGACTCTAAAACAGTTGACGGAGCATTTGTTTTGACAGTCATCTTATCCATCATCGATCCACAGTTCGCTATTGTTTAGCTGTTTGGGCTACGTGAAATTGCATCCTGTCTTGCACAGAAACCATGGAGCGCACAGAATACACATGTGAGAGAGATTGATGGCGGTAATTGTGCAATGGGCCTCAACACTGAATTGCTATTTTTCCCCCTGCAGCGGATTCCACAGGTACTCACTCCCTGTACACGACTTACAAGGACTATGAGATCATGTTCCATGTGTCGACTCTGCTGCCTTACACACCCAACAACAAACAACAGGTAAAGATGGAGAGCCTAGCCTTTGTGGTGAACCATTATTTGTGTATCAGGAAACAGATTGAGCAAAGAAAACCGATGAAAAGGAAGGCTGTATCATTTAGAGGAACGCGTGATACGACTCGTGGCTCAGTTATCAGATTTGACTCCCATCCAACTTTCATTCTAAGGAAAATGTTATTGTTTCCATGTGATTAAATGGAATGCACCATATGATTGGTATGACTTTGCTTTCAGATTCAAGTCCCATACTTCTCTAATTAAGACTGTGTTGTTTTCCAATGACTAGTTGCTGAGGAAGCGCCACATAGGGAACGACATTGTGACCATCGTGTTCCAGGAGCCTGGCGCTCACCCTTTCACCCCGAAGACCATTCGCTCTCACTTTCAACATGTCTTCCTCATTGTACGGGTGCACGATCCCTGCTCTGAAAACACATGCTACAGGTGGGTTTTTTATTTTTATTTGACTAGCAGAATAATGGCTAAGCCCTGATAAAATGAACAGCCCATTGAGGTGGACGGTAAATGTGCCAGGAGTCTTATTTTCTTTCTTCTGCACGTGTATACATGCTATGTGGTTTGTCAAAGAAAGGAAGGAAGGGAAAAAAAACTGCCTTGGAAAGGTGTCCAGTTGACCGTCTTGTGAGTATGGAACTGCGACTCGCACTGAGGTTAAGTTAAAAGAGAGGCGGTCTACATCCAGAAGTGTATCTTGTGGTGTGGAAGCACAGATAACATAACACAAAATGCCTTCAAATATGAAACAACAGTAAAGCAATTTAAAACAGGATATTAAAAGTATGATGGTTATGCCACCAGGTATGAATAAGTAAGACTGTATCTAGAGACTTAGGAGACTCCTAACAATTTTAAGTGGGTCAGACTGACCCAACCCTGTACCCTTTAACTGCAGCACTGGGCTTTTTTTATGGGAAAGCTCCACACCACTTTCAGTGCTACCAGCACTGTGTTTTTTTTTTTTGCTACAGTAGCATTAAGACAAAAGCATTGACTGGAAGGCATGGGTGGAACATAAAAGCCTGTTGCGTGACTGTCCTGTCACTCCCGATTGTGCCTGGTCATGTCCTCTGCATGTCTCCATCAGTATAAATTAGTTTGATTATGATCAAATGGAATAGATTGGCCCTTCAGTAGCTGTCCAACTGATAGGAGGAGTCCTCTTCTCCTCCGCTGGCTGATTCTTTAGCCTCGTGATGATCAGACTGCAACTCTGTGGCGTTCACACTAATGCATTTCTACCCCACCGCACACACACAATTTCTGTGTTCTGCATACACATATATGACACACACACTTCACACATAGTTGCTCCCTCTCACTCTCTTACTCCTGTTTCTCCTTTTTACCTTCTTCTCATGCTCACTTTCACACGGTTACACACACATGCACGCACTTTCCCCCCGTGCACACTAATTCACTCTCAAAGACTCGCTCTTCACACACCCATACAATACAAGCCTCCCCCTGCTTCTCCCCCCCTCCCTCCCTGCCTGCCACTTTGCCTTTGGGCAGTGTGAGCCGGAATGGTCTGAAGGAGTTAGCGGCATGCACATGAAGTGCTCTCTTCGCCTGGACATGCATGTGAGCGGGGAGGATTGTTGAGAGCAGAGTACCTCAGAGCTCACAGAGTCTCAGGAGTGGACGGGTCAGGCCAGCCTTCTGTCTCTCAACTCGCACCCGCGTCAAATTCAGGCTAATTTATTTGGAGCCATTCTTTTCTCCTCTCTAGTTCCTTTTTTTCTGAGCAACTACTCCATCCCATCAACCAGTGGACACCTTGATTCAGCTTGCTTTTTGCCTAAAGGGGGCATGTTTTGGTTTAAGCTCTGGGAAAAGAGAAAGGGTGAAATGCTGGTTCTCTTGGTTTGCTTTATGGAGGAAATGTAAAGGACAAGGACACCGAATCCTTGAGGACAATCTTATCTACCCCACCCAGAGAAACCGACACACTCTGAGCCTTTGGCTTCTTCTCCTGTTCCTGGGATTGAGGCACCAAATGTGAAGATTTCACTCCTGACTGTGTTGTCACAATTCTTTCCATGGATTCCTTTCCCTGATGATTTGGAAACAATTCTGCATCCAGACAAGAGAACACAGGACACAAAGATTTGCTCCACCGTACCAAGTGGAATATCTTGAGTGTCTGATTGTAGCTACAGAAGAGAATCTAGTTCTCATCGACCCAGCGATTCACTTCACATTGATTGCAACAAAGATTCAGGATATTGGGCAATAATAATCAGTAAGAACATGGTTGCTTTTGGGTGACACCAAGAGGTAAGTTATACACTGCAGGTGTTTGTCTTGATGTTGGCAGGTGTGTTGGTTTTGTTAAAACCATGCAGAGTAGTTGATGCAGTGATTTGACTTTTCCACCTACTGGATTCCAAGCTTCATGGATATCAGCTGATCGCAAGTCACACATTTGCAAACACAAACACAATTCTTGAACACACACATACTGGATTGAAACCTGATTTCCAAAAAAAATATTATTGTGTGTTTATATTTTTGCTATCATGTCTTATGTCTGTGTCTTCTTATCTAGTGATCATGGGATGTCTTTATTATTACAGATTAAGGAAGTACAGAGTATGTTAGGATTTCTTGAGTCATCTAGTTATTAATAGCCTGTTGTTGCCTGCTGCTGAGTTTTGGATAATGCTCAGGTCATATTGAGCCAGACCAGAACATTAGAGGAGTAAGTGGCCCGGGGCCAGCGGGGTGCTAATCTGCTGCTTTCAACCGCTGCCTCAAAGTCACACGGGGCCAGCAAGGCGGATTGCATAACTAGCCCTTTGTTTAGGGTTTGTGCTTGCTAGCATTAGCCGCAGCACTGCTTTTCATCTCATGATGTAGCAGAGAGTGGCAGGGTGTCAGCACAGGGAGCTGGCTTGTCAACTGTGATTGGATGTATAGTATTTATACACCGCGTGTAGTCAGGCATAGTTTGCAACATTTCTGCTAAAGGCTACGACTTGTTATCTGTTGAATGGACTGGATGGGGATTTGTCCGGACTGTCCCATCAGCTTATCCAAGACCATGTCTCGGTTTTCATGCACTAATGGTATAGCATATACACTAAGACAGTGTACAGTTGTGTGAAAAAGTGTTTGCCCCCTTCCTGATTTCTTATTTTTTTGCATGTTTGTCACACTTAAATGTTTCAGATCATCAAACAAATTTAAATATTAGACAAAGATAACACAAGTAAACACAAAATGCAGTTTTTAAATGAAGGTTTTTATTATTAAGCAGAAAAAAAAAATCCAAACCTACATGGCCCTGTGTGAAAAAGTGATTGCCCCCCCCCCCCTGTTAAAACATAAATTAACTGTGGTTTATCACATCTTTGGAAAGCTGAGTTCAATTTCTCTAGCCACACCCAGGCCTGATTACTGCCACATCTGTTCTCAATCAAGAAATCACTTAAATAGGACCTGCCTGACAAAGTGAGGTAGACCAAAAGATCCTCAAAAGCTAGACATCATGCTGCGATCCAAAGAAATTCGGGAACAAATGAGAAACAAAGTAATTGAGATCTATCAGTCTGGAAAAGGTTACAAAGCCATTTCTAAAGCTTTGGGACTCCAGCGAACCACAGTGAGAGCCATTATCCACAAATGGTGAAAACATGGAACAGTGGTGAACCTTCCCAGGAGTGGCCGGCCGACCAAAATTACCCCAAGAGCGCAGCGACGACTCATCCAAGAGGTCACAAAAGACCCCAGAACAACATCCAAAGAACTGCAGGCCTCACTTGCCTCAATTAAGGTCAGTGTTCATGACTCCACCATAAGAAAGAGACTGGGCAAAAATGGCCTGCATGGCAGAGTTCCAAGATGAAAACCACTGCTGAGCAAAAAGAACATAAATGCTCGTCTCAGTTTTGCCAGAAAACATCTTGATGATCCCCAAGACTTTTGGGAAAACACTCTGTGGACTGACGAGACAAAAGTTGAACTCTTTGGAAGGTGTATGTCCCATTACATCTGGCGTAAAAGTAACACAGCATTTCAGAAAAGGAACATCATACCAACAGTAAAATATGGTGGTGGTAGTGTGATGGTCTGGGGCTGTTTTGCTGCTTCAGGACCTGGAAGACTTGCTGTGGTAAATGGAACCATGAATTCTGCTGTCTACCAAAAAATCCTGAAGGAGAATGTCCGGCCATCTGTTCGTGACCTCAAGCTGAAGCGCACTTGGGTTCTGCAGCAGGACAATGATCCAAAACACACCAGCAAGTCCACCTCTGAATGGCTTAAGAAAAACAAAATGAAGACTTTGGAGTGGCCTAGTCAAAGTCCCGACCTGAATCCGATTGAGATGCTGTGGCATGACCTTAAAAAGGCGGTTCATGCTCGAAAACCCTCCAATGTGGCTGAATTACAACAATTCTGCAAAGATGAGTGGGCCAAAATTCCTCTACAGCGCTGTAAAAGACTCATTGCCAGTTATCACAAACGCTTGATTGCAGTTGTTGCTGCTAAGGGTGGCCCAACCAGTTATTAGGTTTAGGGGGCAATCACTTTTTCACACAGGGCCATGTAGGTTTGGATTTTTTTTCCCCCTTAATAATAAAAACCTTCATTTAAAAACTGCATTTTGTGTTTACTTGTGTTGTCTTTGTCTAATTAAATTTGTTTGATGATCTGAAACATTTAAGTGTGACAAACATGCAAAAAAATAAGAAAGCAGGAAGGGGGCAAACACTTTTTCACACAACTGTATATGCTACTGACTGTACTGTATCTGTACACTTATAGCCTCCATTTATGCAGCCACACTGCATGTAAACATGCTGCCAACTGATTTGATAATCCAAGCATTGTCGTCCCAAATGGTAAATTAATTCCAATATGTTTAAAAACACACTTTGCTGAATTTGTTCCACACTGAGCACATTTTTAATTTGATGAACAACAACAATGACACAACAATAGCTACACCTGTTAAGTAATTTATAGTAATCCAACACAAGGACAGACATTGTGTGCAAATGGAACAGGAGCAGTAGAGGGTAACAAGAGGAGAGCCTTCCCGTAGGAATTCTAACACCCTTTATACTCACAAGTAAAACGGGTCAAAGGCAACGATACCTTAGAGGAAACTATGTAAAGATGTCTCCACTATGCTGATTTACAAGGCTGTTTGTCCTTGGAATGTTTTTTCCCCTATTTATTTGACACTCATGGAATTCAGTTATGTTAACTTTTATGTGTTTGTTTTCCTGTTTTATGCATAACATCTTGTTGTGTTTCATGCTAATCATATTTCTTTATTATATATCATATTGTCATTTAATTCTATTTTGATGTATTTGTCTTCAGATATACAGACTGTAGACTTATTGTTTTCCTTTATATTTCTGCAACCATTTGTTTTGATTGTTTTATGACAGAATCAAACCAAACAATACTTTTAAAGAACATTGCTTACCAGGTATGGATCGTAATGTTTGTTTGTTTACATACTATAGCAGTGACTTGAAACCTTTCCCCTCTTTTTCCCTTTCTGCAGTGTGGCGGTCACCCGTTCCCAGGACGTTCCCTCCTTTGGCCCCCCAATCCCCAAGGGTGTGACCTTCCCCAAGTCCACTGTCTTCAGGGACTTCCTGTTGGGCAAAGTCATCAACGCTGAGAACGCAGCCCACAAGTCGGATAAGTTTGGTGCCATGGCAACGCGTACACGGCAGGAGTATCTTCGGGACTTGGCAGAGCGTCACGTGACCAGTACTCCAGTAGAACCCACTGGGAAGTTCCCCTTCATCTCTTTGGCGCACAAGCGACGGGAGAAGGTGCGTCCGTACAGTGGGGCGGAGCTGCGGAGCCTGGGGGCCGTGACCTGGCAGGTTCATGCCGAGGACCAGGTAGCCGGTGCTGAACGCGAATGCCTGTTGGCCATTTCAAATGACTTCATCATCCTGTTGGATCAGGAGGCCAAAGCGGTCGTGTTTAACTGTGCCACGCGTGATGTGATCGGTTGGTCAACGGGGAGCCCCGCCTCCATGAAGATCTACTATGAGCGTGGTGAGAGTGTGTCACTGCGCTCCATCAATAACAACACGGAAGACTTCGGAGAGGTTGTCAAGAGACTGGAGGTCAGTGGGGCACCACTACTGTCTATGTCTACTGAACATCTTATTAACTGCACCATCTGCTGTAGCTCTCAGAGGTTACACTGAGCCAAACACCCCATCTCTGACAGAGCAACACACTGCTTTTATCATTATGTTTACATTTGAGCTAGTTATCTGTGACGCTTATTTAAAACTGTAGAATGAACATACATTGCTAAACCAAGTAACCAATGTCAGTGAGTTCAACGCTTCCTTTAGGAGTGTTCCTGTAGCCAGTCCACAGGTGTGTAGGCAAAAGTGCTTAGTGTAGTTTTTCACTGCTATTAGTTACTTCCAGTCCCCTCATGTGTGAGGGCATGTTACACCGTCTCTCCGCTTCCTTGACAACAGCTGTATGAAAAAATAAGAAGCAAGTATTGTTGATGTTATTATAGCAACATAAGGGTGTAGCTTCAAATTATACAGTCACCAAAATGCCACAGCTGTTGTGTTGACTCCATGATTATAAGTCATGCTAAGCACAATACATAGTAATTAGGCGATTTGATATCATTACTGCGGGTTTTCAATGTGGTATAGGTACGGCAGTGTTTTCTGATGAGGCAATTTGATCATTCTGCTGGCTCTGCAGTTCTAGTTAACTGTAAACAAAGTACAGATTTACTGTTGCCTGCTACCAGTACTGGCACATGCCCTCCCCCTAAAGCAGGTATAAAGGAGGATTTGCTACTATTTCTACTATTGTCTATTCTGTGTACTTACTACTATTTACTTCTCAGTTAACTGCCCACAGGTATAGGAAGAGCTAGACAGGGTGTCTAATGGTGGTCAGCTACCATGGGAGTGTACCAAATCATTTAAATTCAAGTGCTTAGTATTCATAGTATATAACTGAAATGTGAGGCGTGATTAAAGCTAGTGTCAGATGCATCTTAAAAGATGTGGTTGCTTTGAAGAAGGTTTATTAGTTTATCTGCAAAAGGAAATTGTTTTACACGTCATGCATGTCTTCTACTCTTTCTCTGATTTGTCCCTCTACACCTCCACTCCCTCACTCTTATCTGTTCTGTAGCTGTTGACCAAGGGCAGTCAGACCACAGAGATGACCCTGCGCCGTAACGCCCTGGGCCAGCTGGGCTTTCATGTCAACTTTGAGGGCATTGTTGCAGAGGTGGAGCCCTATGGCTATGCCTGGCAGGCTGGGCTCAGGCAGGGCAGCCGATTGGTGGAGATTTGCAAGGTGTCAGTGGCCTCGCTGTCTCACGAGCAGATGATCGACCTGCTCAGAACCTCTGTTACTGTCAAGGTGGTCATCATCCCCCCACATGAGGACTCCACACCACGCAGGTAGAGTGTGGATAGATTGAATCTATAGATGCGAGAGAAACGTTTTTGAGGCTGTCCCATTCTGACTGTGAACACTTCATGTGCCAACAGAGGCTGCTCAGAAATCTACCACATGCCGCTGGTGGATTACAAGAACCACAAGGAGGGCATGCCCTACGAGTTAAAGTTCCCCTTCCGCCCCACCAACAACAACAACACCAAGTGGCCACGCACCTCATCCAGCCCTCAAACACGCTCTGCTGGCACAGGGGGAACGCTGATCAAGGCCCCACCTTCAGACTTCAGTGACCGCAACTCTGCTGCTATTCCCCGAAGTGTGTCCAGCGACGGACGACCCGTGAACCCCAAAAGGTCACAAAATATACACAATGCTGTTATAAAACTCGCAGACACACTGAGCACAAAGCTGTCTGCTTGCAAGTACACAGTTAAGTCTTTAATGACATACTTATGCGTCGTCACAGGTACTCCCCGGGGAATGACAACTACGCTCTTGCCTGCTCCATTGCGATGGGCCGCACAATGCACAACACAAACTCTCCCTCCAGCCTCCCCTACGCAGACACCATGAGCTCCAACCGGTGGAGGCAGAAATCTATGCCGGATGGGTAAGTTCTTCTTCTGCCCCCCATTATCGGTCGCATGCTAAATTGGCCTGCTGCACTACCTGGCAACATAGGTGACCTTCCTTATATCCCCATTAGGTTTAATAACAACAGCTGCCAGTCCCCTGTGGCATCTGTGCGGCAGCTGGCAGGTGAGGGGGTCAACGGAAGCAAAGCGTGCTCTAGCTCTGGTGTTGGATGGACCCGAACTGGGGAGATGGACAAAACCAGTGCAGGTAAAAGGAACTCCAAACTCTGGCCTCAGTATTAGCTATAGTATTAAATACGACGTGACTTTTGCTGTGCTACCACTTGTCTACAGAACTCATTAACCGTAAGTCTTTTCCTCCCACAGATACTGTGGTTTCCAAAGTTGTGATTCCTAGACTCCAGTCATCAGAGCATGGCAGCCACCTGTCACCGAACAAAAGCACGAAGGTGAGCTGTAATCAATAAGCACAATACTGGAAGCAAATCTCTTCCTCCTATGTGATGGCGAGTTGGTGGAGGAGGCACTGTGTAATAGTGAATATATATATATATAAAAACTGTGAAAATGCTGATTTGATCTCTCATCTCTGAATAGCCGGACGCTCCGTATTCATCCAGCCAGTCTAGCAGCAACACACTCTCGAGCAACGCCTCCAGCTCCGCCCACAGCGACGAGAAGTGGTACGAAGTCGGCTCACGTTCAGGAGTGCGGAGCGATCTCGAGCTCAACGGATATCTTCAGGGCACCTCCACTGACAGCGGCATCGATGCCACCTCCTTCACTGCCACACAAAGCAGCACAGCTTCCTCCACCGGTGCCTTCAGGGCCAAAGACGAAATCCAAAGGCAGGATGACGAAGCAGGCAGCCAGAGGGCCACGGACTCTTCACCTCCAACACCAGACTCTGTTGTCGCCATCGGAGGCAGTGAGATCCCAGCGAAGAGTCCATCAGCCTCTCCACTAGTACCTGATGGTGGCTCCTACAGCCAGAGTGATGCCGCCTCCCACTCCAGGTGTGCTGCTGTTCTGTCTGAGTCAGCTGTGGTCGGCTGAGGAATTTGTGGCCCTGCGTTGATGTTTCATTGAACAGAATTAATCATTGTAGTCCATATATATCTTGTACTATCCCAGATGCAAAATTCCAAAGCTCTGCGGTTTGGCATTAGATAGAGGGAGAGAGGAAGAATAAAATAACTCTGTGTGTGTGTGTGTGTGTGTGTGTGTGTGTGTGTGTGTGTGTGTGTGTGTGTGTGTGTGTGTGGTTTTGCATAAGTATATATCTCTCCTGGTATCCATGATAGAAAGGAAGTGCTTGAAGTTGCTAGAAATGCAGACTGTGAGCTCAGCACTGTTCCCCCTCTTCTAAATCCCACTTCCTTTTGAATCAACTAAAGCTTTCCTCCGTCTCCTCTTCACTCAGCCAGAAATAACTCTGCTCCACCAGACCTGTACATTGGCAGCTTTGTTTTATAGTATGTGCACACACAGGCGCGCCCGCACACCGACACAAAACCTGCTGTTTGAAAATTCAAGCTTTTATTTCAAACTACGGAGAAATGTTATTTGAAGTTGCTGGAAATGAAGTGCAAGGACACTGTGTCCTATTTTATCTAAAGTTATCAGTTGATCCCATCTGCAGAGATAGCATGAAATGCAGTGCTGGATTAGGTAATTGATGTATTTTAGGAGAATCTGTTATCTTCTGTTTGTATATGCAAATAGTCTTAATGAAACCGCTAAAATATTGTGACGGTTTGAACTAGAAGGACAGTGTCTATCTGAGGGAATTCATTTTCAGCCAAATTAAACATATTGGTGCTTCATCAATCATGCTAATTGAAACAAACTATATTATATACTAGACTATAGATAGTCTAATAGTTTGTCTCACCTCCCTCCCTCTTTCTCCAGCACACTCAGTTCGGGCCACTCAGGGAGTCCCACGGACCAGGGACAAGACGAGGCGGCTGCAGCCACCTCACCTACATCACCGGGCAGCAAGAGTTTCTACCCTCGTCAAGGAGCGACCTCCAAGTACCTGATTGGATGGAGGAAACCCGGGGGAACCGTCAACTCTGTGGACTTCGGCAACACTCGCAAGTAAGATCGGAACTGTGTCCCCTGCAATGCTGCATGTTGAGAAAACTGCCATTCAGTGTAGAAATGCGTCCAGCTGTTGGTTGGGTTGATGTTTCAGAGACTGGGGAAAGGAATACATTTTTTTTTTTTTTTTTTATCTCACTGACTGCTCACATAATAATACTTTTTAAGTTTGGCCAACAATGCCACCATGTGGTGTAGCTGGGTTTGAAACTTTTTTTTTTTTTTTTTTTCAAGCAAATCTTTTGGTTCCCAGAGACGGGTGACTAACATAATTTCCCTTTATCACTCATTCAATGCAGCATATGTCTCATTGTTTGGCCCAAAGGGCGATTGCATCATTTGTGGTTGGTGGCAACTGCTGTTTTCTCTGTACAGCTGTTCATCAAACCAAAGATAGTCCGGGTGAAGCAATTAAGTGGTTAAGTGTCATGTCGAGGGCATTTCAACATCACAGAGAATAGTTGAGCCGCTCCTCATCGTTCACAGATTCCCATCCAGTCTCATAATTTGAACTGCTGACCTTTAATCACAGGCGTGCTCTGTTATGTTCTTGGCCACCACCTTTGCCTACTGATCTGCTGTATAATGAGTGTTATTTGGATTGAAGAGGCATCTCTCTGATTCAAATCTTGCTTTTGTCTCCAGACGGCACCAGAGTGATGGTCTGCTGGGAGGTCAGCCGCAGCTCAGGGCCAATCTCCGGGGCTCCCAGTCGCCCCACCGGCACACTGCCAAGTCCAGCCTGGAAGAAGACTTGAAGAAGCTCATCACACTTGACAGCCCTCCACCTACAACAAGCGAAGAGAAGGTACTGAGAAAGGCTGTGGGCAAATTGTCCATACTGATGCTCGCAACGTAGTACAGTGATTCCTGACCAATCAGAAATGTGCGTTTGCAGTATTTTTTCTCTTTTTGTTTTACCTGTGTCCTGTCCCTCATCCGTTTCCATTCCTTTCCGAAGCCGTTGTTTCCGGGTCCGCCGCCCACTCGTCGCTCCCTCCAGAGAACCCTGTCAGATGAGAGTATTTACAGCGGGCAGAGGGAGCCCTCCTCCAGCGGACAGCGCGACACGCCTACCGACCTTCTGTTCAGCTGCTCCACCATGCCCCGCTCACCCACCGCTCGCCATGGACCAAGCCGGCGAGCATCACACAAATCCCTAGGTGAATGTTTAGTCTGTAGTTCGAAAAGTAATGAAGTAGGATGATATGATTTGCAATACATAGTAAATAGGGTTTGTAAACTTAATCTCAATAGACGCCTCCAAAGACTTGAGACGTCAATTTAAATGTAGCATCGCGGCTCTATTTTTCCGTCCACTATGTTTGAATTTGCTGTTTTCTCTTCCCAGGAGACCTGACAGCCTCAGAGAGCTCAGAGCTGGAGCTGGAGCTGGAGAGGAAGAGGCAGCAGCTGCAGGAGGCTGCCCTCATGCCGCTGCCTGACACTGGGGCAGATAGCCCGCTCGACTGGGCCCACCTGGTAGACGCTGCCAAGGCCTTTGAGGGTAGGCACACGTTGTGTTTTCATATCCTCCTCGAAATCACTGGAAGTGAAGGTTCATGACTCGTATATAAATCATTTTTTAGTGGTAGGTGTTGCCAGCTGCCATCTTTATCCTCACCAGTAGAGGGCACTCTAAGTCTTTATTTGTTCTTTCTCCAAGTCTAATAATACCTATTCTAACTGTTTTTTATTCAGAGCAGAGGCTGGTCTTCCTTGCAGCCCAAGAGGAGAGCTCCATGGCTGAGAGTGCAGCAGCCACCAGTCCCCAGCAGGCTGAGCCTCAGGCAGCACCGCTGAGACAGCCCTCGCCTGGGTAAGAGGCCACGGGTTCATGGCCCGGGACCAGTGTTTGCTCTAATCCACTGGTTTCCAGCATTGTGCCATGGAAGTCCCTGTAGATTTCCCTCCGGTTAAACACTACAGCAGCTGATATCACAAATTAGTCCTCCGTTCTGGTTCACTGCATGCTAAACAGTAAAATCAGCAACTATAGTGTATAAAGTACACCTCCGCAGGACTTGGAAAGGGCAACTTTTGATTGTGGCGCAGCTTTAAGCACTGCTTCACTCTGATGTTTCAGTGTTCGTTCCAGCTAATGTCCTGGTTGTCCTTTTTTTCAGAGAGACTCCAGTCTGCCTGATGGGGAAGGTCAGCCAGCTGGAGTCGATGGTGAAAGTGCTTCAGGAGGACTTGAAGAAAGTGAGTCATCTTTCAATTAGAGAGACACACAGACTTAGACTGACAAGATGGGGTATATCAGATTTAATTGTTTTAGTGTCAAAATCCATGTAAATGAGGCTTTTACTCACTGAATATGGTTTTGTAATGAGCCAGTGCTGAACTGGGAAGCTTTGAATAACTGTAATAATCTTCTTGCCACCTAAACACTGTTGATGAAATTAAATAACATCAAAAGGGGAACCCGTGAGTCTGTTGTTGAACCGAGTCAAACCTACGATCACACTGCTCACACACACATCTTTGTCCCCACCAGGAGAAGGACGCCAAGGCGTCACTGCAGGCTCAGATCCAGAGCCTGCGAGAGGACAACCAGCGTCTCCTGGAGGAGTCCTACAGCGCCTCAGCCAAGCTCAAGAAGTTCACAGAGTGGGTCTTTAACACCATCGACATGAACTGATGCACACAGCTGCAGACTGCTCTACATTAGGAGTTTGACCACTACTCAAGCTGATCTGAAACTTGGTTGTTCAGTGCTACACACACACACACACACACACACACACACACACACACAACAGAATTACTTATAAAAACTCTCATTATAAACGTTTACTCTCGGGCTTTGACAAACCAGTGCCAACATGGACTTACATGTCATCTGTCTTCAGCCTTGGATCTGTGGTAGGATCACCATGAAAGACTTTGGGGGAAAAAAAACAGGGGAATAGAGGAAAAAGAGCAGTGGTGCAACTGTGCGTCCGTTTTGATCAGCATGCACTCCCCTCCTGAGAATTTCTCAATTATGATGTTTTGTGTCCGATCTAATGGATTGTTGGTGACCCTGCATGTCAGAGACAGCGAGATGTCGAAACTAACCAAGAGGGATTTAAAGTCACTGTCCCCATTAATCTCCCCAGCTAACCTAATTAAAAGTGAACAGATTTCCAATTAACACAAATTAAAATGTGTGAAAATAGTCCCATATTCCTCTGATAGAGCTTTACACTTTCTAAGAATTGAGCGACAGTGTGTTGTAAATTATCAATTTTCACTGATTATTTTTTATGACTAACCAAAAGAAAAAAAGCTATACGAGAGGATGGGAGACGTCGTCTCCCATAAGACACTATGCTTTCTCATAAGCAGTGTAGGTAGGTCGACACAGACAGACCGAGACACACAGGCCCTCTGCATAGCACGTAGCTGTAAACACTGTAAGGCCACGTCTGTAATGCCTATGCACTGTGATAAGAAGTGTATCAAGCGTCTAACTTCTAGAGGGTTAAAAGCAAGTAAAACTTGTAAAGGACTACTGGTCACAAGCTGATGAAAAGAATATGTAATGTAAAACCACAGAACAATATGTTCAGTTCAGTGTCACCTATTCAGATTATTGTAAATATATGTTAACATTTATTTTGCCCTTGATATATGTAAAGAGTATTTATGATGAAGATGATGGCCAAGAAAATAAAAACAGTCGTATGCAGTCAAGAGATCTGCATGTACTTATAATGGCCAGTCACCTATATGAGAATATATATATCTATATATATATAGATATATATATATATATATATATATATAGATATATATATATAGATATATATATGTATCTACTTTAATTTCAAACTGAGTTTCGAACAGGAAAAAGCTATCCAAAATACTAATTCTTATGTCCTTGCAGTTTATGCAGTGGATTGATTGACAGCGCCACCTAGTGTTGACAACATGCCCTCCATCCATAGCATGCTCCAATGCGTCAATCTGATCCTTATTCAGATTAAATCGGTACTGTTAAAGATATGATTACACAGTAAGATAATGTGTAACTCCTGAAGCTACAGAGTTCTCTGTAGTGTGTAAACCAGACCTGAATTTGGTGTGCAGACAACCACAGAAAGTCCTTATTTAAGCCTCATAACTGTTCCTTTTGTACTCAGATACTGTGCAACTGTATATAAGGAGAGTTTGATATTCATCGGAATTTGCACCTTCATTGTTATTTTTTAAGATTATTTTTTGATGTGTTTCTGCTTTATTGGCTAGGATATAGTGGAGAATGAAAGACCCTACATGAGAGATAAACAAGGGAGACATAAGACAGGACAAAGACCATGAGCTGGACTCGAGACCAATGAGTCCCGGGCCCCTAGCACAGCAGATCGCCCCTGCCACCTTCATTATGAACATGTGTGACAGCATGTGATTCTTTCCATTCAGCTGTGATGTGTAAAAAAAATGTTTATATCTATTAAAGATATTTTGTTGAATTACACTTCGCCTCACAGAGTGGTCTTTTTTTGGGGGCGTGGCAGATATAATGTGATTTAGACACGATGAATATTCATTTCAAGACAGAGATTTCCTAAAAAAAAACAACAACAACAACAAAAAACATCAAAGACAAAAACAGGAAGTCGTTTCACCGCTCGGGCCACATGAGGTGACTTCCAGAGTCAATGGTTATCCGTTAGTGGCCTGGCAGGAGGTGACGGCCTGTTGTGAGTAACACAGAGCTGCTGTTTTTCCACTTAGGCGTGATCATGATTACACAGGGTGTTCTTCCTGACACGAGCCTCGATCAGACAGACTGATGGATGAGGATAACCTCTGGGACGCCACGGTGAAGACATAAACGATAATGGATCCAATAAATGACTGGACTGTGATGTCTTGCAGAGTTATGGCGACACCGCTGCAAAGCTGTTTTTGGATACGTACGTGTTTTTATTAGTCTGCCTTAGAATGATAAACACAAGGCCACGTGCAGGCTACATTCCACGGAGGTGTTGGTAGCTAGAAGTTTCCCTACTGTCCATGAAGGGATCCATTTCTGGTTGACTCCAATGGAGGAGAAGGGGGACAAATCTATAGTCGTAGTTCTGTGCAACAACAAAAAAATGGTGAATTTAATTTTTGATAAAATCCTCTTTTCAGTCCCCTCACAGTGACAATGCTAACACAATGGTGTTTAGCCTGTTGTCGTGCGAATTGTTTGCTTGTTGGCACTGAGCACAAAGTTGTGCTGAGGTATTCGGGGGGGCACGAACCAATTATAATGTATCCTCTGCGGGCCTGGGATATCATCATGGCAATCAGCCAACAGTTAATGAGGTATCTCAGCTGACTGACCCGTCGCTGTCCCCAGAGCCACGCTTCTAGCATGACCTATAAGAGGAAATATCATATTAATAAGACCCGATACCGACTGGATTTATCTCATTTAGACCGCTGACGCCTCATACTTACTTTGGCTGAACTTCACTTAATGCACAGAATGAAGACTGTGGTTTTTTTTATCCCTCATCTCATCTCATATCTGACCAAATATCTCTGTCATTACAAACACACTAGGGCATGTGATCATTGTTGTTAGACAGACTTGAAAAGTTGTAAACCCATCCTTTAAATGTATTCCCTTAATAATGAATACCTCCGCATGTCATGTGTGAGATGTGTTGCTCCCCGGCAGTGGTGTGGCTTTGAACAGGCTGCTCAATAATTTAGCATTAATGCAGATTATAGCGGGACTGCCCCCCTTATAACAGATTAGAGAAGGCCCCGTCTGCCTGTCTGTCTGTCTGCCACGTTGTTAATGATGGTGTTTCTTAATGCCGGAGCAGCTCATGGGACAGTAAGATATGCAGGTCACTGCGGTGTGGCTCATGTGTGTGGTTTGTAATCAGGGGGATGGGTGGTTATGTCATATTACAATATGCCACATGCAAGACATGGCCTACGTGTAGTTGTGATAGCAGAGCTCTTACAATATGGTGGGATATAATACACAATACCTGCTCTTTCCTGCTGAAAAGAATTAGAAGAATGCAGTTCTGAATTTTGTAACTTCATCCGCTTTGGCCTGAAGGAAATTGGGCTTTTCTTTTCTGTGTGCGAGAGGAAATATTTGAACATGTGAATATGCCTCAAATATTTTCAAAAGCAATAAAGAGGGAGCTTTGGAGCCAGGACCTTTGCTTAGATACCAGCACACTGCTGAAAGAGAGAGAGGAACACATGGTGGAGGAAAGCAAGCAAGAGAGTTCTCTGATAACCGGTGAACTGGTTCTGTCAACAGAAACATCTGTATGTGTGCGTTCACTCTGCATGCATGCGTCAACAAACTGGCCGTGCCATGTATTTCTGGAGTATCCTCCTTGGGGGGGCTTTTTGGATCTCATTTATTGTCGCTTGAGTTTGCCATTTAAGCTTGACTGATTCCAGAGTTTTCCATGAAGAGATGGAAGGAGGAGAACACAGACATGCAAGAGGGGAAAAGCTGGAGACGGAAATAGAGTGCATGCTTCCCATCCTCAAACACAAAAATGGAATTTATAGTAATGTGAAGAAATGGATAAGCTTTGAATGGAAAATGGAAAAGCATTGTCTCTGAGGTTGCTTCCTCAAAGAGTCTGTGATATATATTTATAGCCTGCATCTGTGTCTGTGCTCAGAAACAGTAACTTGTTTTTATGTTAGCATTATAATATCCTCCTAATGAAATGTTTCTCATTTTCAGCATCAGTGGGCGCTGCTGCCGTGTGCATCTCTCTGCCCTTCTTTCCTCTATGCTGTGTATCCACTGCTCACACACACACACACACACACACACAAACACACACCCTCGCTGTGTCTGTCCTTCTCCTCCCTCTATTTTCCTCTTTATATTCTCTCTAATTCCTTCATCCCTCCCCCTTTTTCAACTTGATCTGCTCTCTATTGCACAGCATCTCCCTGCCTCCCCCCCTCTCTCTCCCTCTCTCTTAAACACACACACTCTTTCCCTCTCGCTCAGGCTCAAGCACATGCAGAAAGAGGGAGAGGGGGGATGAACGAGATGCACACATGTGAGGATCTCCTAAACTGCCGGGGCAAGGCAGGACTTGTGAAGAGAGAAGAAGAAGAAGAAGCAGAGGAGGAATAGAGGAATACTGCAGTGACCAGCCAGCTTCTCTCTCTCTCTCTCTCTCTCTCTCTCTCTCTCTCTCTCTCTCTCT